TCCTCACTTCCCTTTCTTTTTCCTTCCTTCCCTTCTTTATCATTTCCTTTCTAGCTAATGTACCAAAAATTTTTTCTAATTCATTTCTTCATTCTTTTAGGTTTTGTGTGTCTGAAAAAGTATTTCTTTTTCTCCATTTATAAGAATATTTTTTCTGCATAAGTAATTCAAAATTGGTCATTATTCCTTTGGAACTTTAAAGATGTGCTCCAATGTCTCCTGACTTTATGTGCTCCAATGTCTCCTGACTGACTTCTAACAAAATAAAAAAGTCTGTTGTTATTTTTATCTTTAGTCTTCTGTACATAATGAGTCATTTTCTCTGACTACTTTTAAGATTTGCTTTAAAATTTTTAAGTTTAAAAATTTTAAAAATGCGATACTATTTTTTTGATGGGTGATTTTGATTGTGATGTGTCTTGGTATAACTTTTTTCATGACTCTAGTGTGGGGTTTTTGAAATTGTGACTTTATAATTTTTATCAAATTTGAAGACTTTTATAGTTCTTTATTTCTTTAAATATTTTTTCTGTACTGGCTGTCCTTTGGGGATTCCAGTTACACATTAGACAGCCCTGAGGTTGTTCCCCATCTTACTGTCACTGTGTTCATTTTCCCTCTATTTTTGGGGGAGGCGGGTGGATACTGGGTATTGAACTCAGGGGCACTCAACCACTGAGCCACATCCCCAGCTCTATTTTATGTTTTATTTAGAGATAGGATCTCACTGAATTGCTTAGCACCTTTGCCATTGCTGAGACTGGCTTTGAACTTGTGATCCTCGTGCCTCAGCCTTCTGACCTGCTGGATTACCGGAGTGCACCACCACACCTAGCTTCTCTATATGTTTTATTTAGGGTAGTCTTTTTTTTTTTTTTTCCTTTGGTGGTGTGAGATTGAACCCAGGGCCTTGTGCATGTAAGGCAGGCACTCAGACAACTGAGCTATATCCCCAGCCCTTTTATGCTTTCAAGTTCACTAAGCTGTTTTCAGGATTCCAGTCTACTTTTGTATATAAAATGTAATTAAAACTTTTTGTTGTCATCTGTGTCATTTCTATCACTAAAGACTATGCCTGTTTCTCTTGATTTGGGGGTTTTTGTTATTTTTTCCCTATCTATTAGCTGTTATATTTTATTACTTCTTTGTATGCTTAGTTATTTTTGCTTGGGTACCAGTCCTTGGTAATTTTATTCTGTTGGTTGTTTATGTTTTGTACTGTTGTTACAGTTCTTTAGATTTCATTGAGTTGTAGTTAAGAAACTTAGAAAGCATTTGATTCTTTTGGGACTTCCTTTTTAAAAAACTTTTATTAAACAGAACCACAGTAGTTTTTAGTTTAGGACTAATTTTCCTCCAGATATGGACCTAGTACTTTTCTAAGTACTTTATCCAGTACCCAGTGAATTATGTTTTTCTACTCTAGTTGGTAGTAACTTTTAACTAGTTTTCAGCCCTGTGTTAACCTGTATGATTGATTCCTCTGTTCTTTTGAGGCGGTTCTTTTGCCAGCTTGAGATAATTCCCCCATAATGCTTGTACTAAGCAGTACTGGCTCAAGACTGCAGAAACCCTCTCCAAATCTCTAGAGTGTTTTGTCTGTAATTCTATTCTAATTCTCTAGCCGGCTTACTCTAGCTGCCTTCAACTACCCTGACTCTCAGCTCCACTTCTTCAATTTATAGAAGTTTTTGTGCTCCACCTAGCCAGGCTTTTTCTCCCTTCATTGTAGCCTGAAAACTCTTTCAGTCTCTAAACAGGGACTCCCTTTGATTCTTCTCTGTCTGAAAACCAGGGTTTAGTAATCTTTGTTCCCTTTTGGGGGAAGGGTGTTCTACTCTTACTCTTAGTTAGAAGTGGAAGTCACTTTGTTTTATAAAATTTTAAGTTGAGAAAGTGGGTGAGAATCACATTCCAATATAGAGAAAAAGCTTTTGTTCAGTATTCAGTCAAGGTTTGGATATTTTCTGTTGTTTATGTAATATACAAAAATATCAAACCTGATCTTAGTACCAAAGGTCATTTGGAAAGAAATAGAAATCAGTATAGATCATTAAATAAAGTTTGAATCATAATAGAGACATCACAGCCCTGATTTCATTTGGAATAAAGCAAAATATTATACCATTTACTTTGAATTCCCTCCTTCTAAGATTTCCTCAGATCTACAGGCCTGTAAATTCAGTGGTCAAAACATTGGACCATATCACTTGAATCCCCTCCTTCAAAATTCCCTCAGATTTGTAGGCCTGCCTGTAAATTCAGTGGTCATTCATCATCCCATCTAAGGTAATAATTTTATTAATTAATATTTCTTATTTAAAAAATCTGTTATACAGCATAGAATAGGATATTATCTCTATTATTTAATCTGGCTCAGTAAATTGAACACAGTATAGTAAAATGCTAATGAAAATAGGAAAGTATGTTTTCAGGGGTATAAAAAGGTAAGGAAATTGCTAGGAGAGAGCCTTGTGGCTTATGAAATTTTAAATCCTTTATGTTAAGATAAATGTACTATGATAAAGCTAGGAAAATGTGATTGTTAGAGTCAAGACCCCTGAGTTTGAGTCATTGTTCTCACCTTCTGACCTATCACTTTGGGCCAGTTATAGACAATCTTTGAAAAGCTGTGTTTTTAAATAAGAGAATGAGATTGTTTAAAGATGATTTATTTACTTTCGGAAAATATTTCAGTTAAAAAATATAGAAGGAATAAGGAAAATAGAAAATCACCGTTAGAATACCATAGTAATAGGTGTTGCAAGCAATATCCATGGATGAATGTTATAATTAGGGGGCAAAAATTTAACGACAGTTAGACTGCATGCTCTCAGAGTACTTCTTCAAAACATTATTTTAAAAGAGAAAAAAATAGCAATGTTGAGAAAATTAGTAAATATATCACCTTAACCAACATCCAGGTAACATTACCTGTAACAAGAAATGTTAATATCATGTGCTCACATATTGGAGTCTATTGATTGTATATGATGCATATAAGAAGGGCATACCTGTGTGGTGACGTGCCATTAAAAATGGATAACTTCAGTCTTGTTATGGGAAAACATCAGACAAATCAAAATTGGGGGACATTCTACAGTGTATTTGACATGACCTCGATGTTGTGAATGACAAGGAAGTACTTGAGTAAAGTCTCAGGTTGGAGAGTACAAAGGAAATGACACTAAATATAAGTGGTCGGTGAAAGGGCTAATTTTAAATAGACGGGGAAGTATAGACAGGGAAATTCTTACTGAGATGATTCCCTTGATACCTGAAGTGAGTGAGATAGAATAGAAAGCCATATGGATATATGTCTAGGGAAAGAATACTTCTAGAGGATACAGCAAATACAAAGACCTGGAGACAGGAATATACCCCCGTGTTTGATGATCAACAAGAAAACCAATGTGGTTGGAGCACTGTAAGAGAAGGGGAGAATTAGAGGTAACAAAGGGTAAGGTCAGTAAGGTCTTTGAGGCATTGATAATGGTGCAGTATTGTGATGTTTCACTATTGTGAACATCAAATGGATAAAGTACGTAAAAGTCTAAAGTGTTAGCATCTAGCACTTGTGGTAGTAGATGCTCAATAAATGTTTTTGAGAATTGATTTATATGGTAAGATGTTTAGACATGTTTTAAAAGAAAGTCCCATGTTTCCTTGCTGAAAATACTTTTCAATTTTGACTGCTTCATACATAACCAGGATTCTGATACACCAGTGTATTTTTAAAATATAAACATTTTAAAATAATATGTCACTTTTGATAATATCTATTTATGCTATTGAGTTGATATTGTCTTGAAATAACTGAAATAAGCATCTATTAATTTTAGTATTTATAATAGAATTTGTTTTTCTATGAATCAAAATATTTACTTTTTATATTATTAAACAAAGTTTATGTTTTTATAACTGATTAGGATTGGGGAATGTAGCTCAGTGGTAGAACACCTTTTTAGTGGGTATAAGGCCCTGGATTTGATCCCCATTACTGCCACAGAGAGTGATGGAGAATAACTTGGATATTTCATTCAAATCCTATATTCAGATTTTAAAAACCTTTCTTTGAATTTTTTTCTTTATCATTTAGTTTGATTCAAGTGCCCCTCTATCGAATGGTCTTTATTTCTTTTTATCAGTGTAAAGCACTTAAGAAATTAATTTCTTCCCAATAAATATACTTTTATAAAAAGTTATCTATTTTTTTTAAAAGTTCACTTGTCTATTTTTAGAAAACATATCCTGTGTGGTCGCTTTTTGCTGGATGATGGTGTTAAAATGTGTGCAAATCTTAGATTTAATGTTGAGTACTTAGGAGAACAAGAGACTATTTAAAGAGTGGATAGGCAGAATAATTGAACAGTTGTCTTAACATGTTTTCATGATGGCCAGGTAAGCCTATCCTTGCATTTTGAAAAAGTGTGCAAGTTTATAGAGAGAGCTACCTTTAAAAAAAAATTATTAGTACTTTGAATTGGTCTGCAAGGTGATATCGGGGTTGGGTAATAATGAGAAGTGAACAGGGAGTCATAATGTTGAAACTGGACATTCAGATCTTTATAGCATGATTTCCTTATTTTTCAAAGAGCAGAAGAATCCCATCGTTTATCATGTTCTGGTTGGACTCCTTTCTTATCGTTTGCTGGAGTTTGAACTTCAGAGCTATGGTGTCAACCCTGCTGTAATATCTCAGGGGAGCTCCTAGTGTGGGGCTGGTGCCATGGCTCACCCTCCAACCTTTCCTTCTTCACTTCAGCCTCCAGCTCTGAGCTTTCCAATCCCCAGAGTAGCAAATGTTGAAAGAAGTTGCACAGGTAAGTATGTGGCGGGAAAAGCTGGGGGAAACAATGCTACTGTTGTCAATATTTGAGGGTGGATATCGGGCCATTTACCAGTGAGCCAATCTTGTTAGTTTAGAAATAATAATGTATTTTAAAAATTTTTCTTCATAAAACTATCTCATAAATTATTATATAAAAATCTAGTGCTGCAAGAAATAGTTTTAATTTTTGTTAATATGCAATAGGAAAAAAACTTACACTGAGTACACCATTAATACTATAATACAGAAAAAGGTTGTTAGATTTAAAAAACAAACAAACAAACAAACAAAAAACAAAAAGAGTATAACAGAACCTGAAAATTCATGTTCCAGAAAAGAAGCTAAGAAAATTAACTAGGAAAAGCATAAATCCATAGATTACAATTCTGTCTTATGAAATGAGGTCCTGGAAGTGGCATTTTATTTTCCTTCTACTAGCTTTAAACATGCTGTGTTTTTTCCAGAGGTATTAGGTGACTGTGTTTTAAAATCTCTATAGGAATAGATATTTCAGACATCTTTTTTTTTTTTTTTTTAAAGTTTTGACAAGATAACTGGGGCATGTCTACCAATCTCTAGGCTTGAAGTTAACAAAACTTAGTATAGATGCAGTGAAGACACAGTATCTGGTACAGACAGTACAGTGAATACCCGTTGAATGAGAGAATACATTTACCAAATCCTCTGTGTATGTAAGAGAGACAGAGAGAAAAGGGGGGAGGGTGCCAACACTCTGGCATTTATTGATTTCTGCCTGTACAAAAAATACTAGCATTACAGATTTTTTCCCTGAAGTCATAATTTTTAAAAATAATTTTATAGTAATATAGACTGGGTCTTCACTACCTTACTTATTGTTACTATATTTGAGGCTCTTGCTTCTCAGAAAGCTTTTAAAATTGAGTTTTTTAGCTCTCCCAGATCTAGTCCATGTAATTTATATTCATAGTCCATGTAATTTATATTCATGCTTTGTAGATTTTGTTCATATAAGAAGTCATTTGGAATTGAACACAAGTAAACAGATTGTTAATATGGCCTGTGATTTCTAAGATTTCTTCAGAGTGTATGAGATTGGAACACCAAGTAACTAGCATTTAGAGTTTAGAAACAGGACCTCAAAAGATAGAATTCTCAATAGTTCCGTGTTTCTAACTAATTGTGGCATTTTAAATTTTACTGACAGCCTTGTAGAAATATATAACCCTCAGCAAAGTGGACTGTAGATCCATTTTTAAAATCTACATTCTAAATCTCTCTTCCCTCTTTTTTTTTTAAGACTAATCCTTCTTTTAAAGATTGATTTAAAAAATGTACATCATTAGAATATTTCCTTTATGCTTAGAGGATTTGTTTATATTTTAAACTTACAGATTTGTCTACTGTTACATGTCCTTCCACTTGGGTTTTATAATTTTATATTCTAATATATATAAGAAGAAAATACTACGTTAATTTTAGTCTCTAGTATTAGTTTTCAACTCTTATTTCTGTTTTATTATAAATACTAGTTATAGTTGATTATTTAGTTGGTATATGATTGTGTATTTTTTCCCCCTGTGGATTCGCACTTTTTGGTGTTTATAACTTGGTTAAAATGGTGCACTTACCTTTTAAAGCTTATATGTTGGTGATTCAAATTTCATTCTGAATAAGGCTTACTGGTATGGAGAAACCACAAAATCTATATTTTCAAGTTGAAGCATGTGTTAACAAACCTTCCAGATCAAAATCAGATTGATAGGGAGCACTTATGGAATTTTGGTAACACTGTTCAGAGGATTTGTGGATTTTAGGGGTGCATATTAAGGGATATGATGTACATAGTTTTAAGGAGTATCATTTGAGCAAACAGTTTCAGACATCAGATTGCAGTTTTTGTATTAGGAAGAGTGATGTCTCTTATCTTTCTGTCTCCCTCGCCCTCTCCTATCTCTTTGACACAGGCCACCGTGTTTTCTTGGATGAGCCTTCCAGAAATGTATAAAATATTTCTGTAACCCTTGGAGAGGACTCTACCAGGATACTTACCTACTCTCCAAAGTAATGATTGTGTTTTTCCAAAGTCATGTTTCCTGTATGTCTACCCGTTAACTGCTTTCTGTTATTATTCAAGATGGCTTTTATTGCTTATTTATTGGGCATTCTGCATTTTCTCTAACTTTGGCATGCATCACTTTTATTTGTTTTTATGTTATTTGATTTGGTGAATTTAAAAATTCTATATTTAAAATTTCTCTTAGCATCTTAATACTTTTCTTGGTCCATTCTAAGCAGTCATGAAATATTCATTATATATTTATCATATTAGAAATATCAGACTCTACAATATTCTGGAACCAGGAAGACTTTTGAGTACTATCCTTATGTGAAAAGAGAAATCATTTGTTCTTTTTCTAAAAATTTCCATGTGTTTAAGGTCTTTGTTCTCTAAGAAGCTAGTTTTTTTTTTTCAGTGCTATTAGTTGCCTTTTTCTCCTTTTCTTAAATCCATTTCCTTCCTTCTGTCCTTCCGTCCTTCCTTTATTTTTTAAAGTTTTTTAAAGAAAGAATTATTTAAATACTGTGAATCAGAATAGGCAGCTCAAAATTCTACTACAAAGTGTTAAAAATTCCTACAATTTTCAGGTTGAAAGTAAGATTTGATATAGGCATATTCTAGTTCAATACAATTTGGGCAATGATGAAAATCTAGTTAGATATTATGGCTCCTCATGAGTAGTTTGAATTGTTAATGTTATTACCTCTTGGTAAAGTTAGGTAAATATTATTACATTGCTGTGATTTTTAATTAGTTTCTGCTTACTTTGTAGACAAGAGAAAACTTGTGCAGGTATAATAAGAAAGTATTGATACTGAATATAGAATTGTGAGGGACAATAAAAAGTTAAATTCTGTAGTAGCAATCAAAATAAGTTACTAAAATATTTCTATTTGGAAAACAGAACATTTTCCCCTTCTTCTCAGGCCACATATAACTTGCAGTTGGCACTCTATCCTTTATAATGCAAAGTGAGTGCAAACTCTTGTAGCTTGAAGGGAAAATTTGGTGCCTCTGAAGAAGTGGAAAGATATTTTCACTGTTGTAAGAAAATTGGTTTTATGATGCGACTCCTTTTAGCAATAAAACTCCTTCCTACATTAGAGAGAGAATCCACAAGAAAAAGTTATTATTAGGGATATGTTCTCTTTTCCAGATGTATCTAGTTTCTAGATGTATCTAACATATTTAATGATAAAGTATTCACATTAATAGCTTTGTAACAAAATTTAGAATTTGCTTATAATCATCCTAATTCCAGTGGAGAATTAAATTATGCTCACTATATTTAGAAAGTACTTAAAAGTGTTTAGTGCTTTTAGAATGTGAAAACAGGATATATGTAATTTTTATTTCCACTTACCTGCAGCCTTCCTGACTTTTTTTTTTTTTTTGGAGATGTCAGGACTCGAACCCAGGGCTTCACACATGCTAAGTATGTGCTCTACCACCAACCCTAGCTAAACCTCACTCAGTCCAATAATTACTTAGTTGATGGAATAGTACTCTTTCTTTTACATACTTTTATTATAAAATTTCTCTAAAATAGGTAGTCTTATAGAGACTGGCTTTTTGTCTTACATGCCTGTAGTGAATCAATCAGACCATTCTCTTTATTATTTGTCTTATTGACAAACATACAAATACTTGGTTGTGGCATACCCTACTTACCATCATTCACCACAAAACAAATGTTAATTAATTTATGTATATATTATTAGATACATAAAATCTTGGGCAAGTTACCTAACTTATCTGGTCCTTAGTTTTCTCTGCTACAAAACAGATACAATAGTTCTTCTTACCTCATAGCATTAGGATAATTACATGAATAAATTTAAAGCACTTGGAATATTGCCTAGCATATGACCAATAAAGTAATTTTTATTATTGTGTAATTACAGTTGTGATAAAGTATTTTCAATGACTATGTAAAACAGAAGTTCTGACTTAGTGTACAAGTTTCAAAAAGAATGAGAGAGCATTTGAAGTAGAAGCATCACTGGATGCAAAAGCTCTGAGGTGAAAAAGAACTTGTGTTCTAGTAACTAAGCGTGTTCCAAAAGATTAGTGGTTTCAGGGACCTGTGAAAAGAGATGATCAGAGTGAGTATAAGGTTTGTTGATTTGGGAAAGCTATTGGGCAATTTTGATCAGAAGATCCATGAAGATAAGAAAATTTTACTTAAAAACAAAACAACACTTTAGATGATGTGAGAGAGTAGATGTAAGAGGAATAAAGAATAGATTAATAAAGACTTATTTACCCCTGTATCAAAATAAAAAATAGAAAGGGCTTGGGGTGTGACTCAGTGGTTGAACAGTCCTGGGTTTAATTCCTGGTACCAAAACACACACACACACACACACACACACACACACACACACACACACACAAGACCTGTTTGTAGACTGTTGGCATGGCAAGTAAATGACAAATAGAGAAAGATACAGATAATTTAATTGAATATTTAGAATTTTATCAACTTGGGTTAATTGTTGAAGATTATAAAGGTTGCAATAAAGGGTTACTAGAAGTCTGTTTGTCATCTAGATTTTTGTAACAAGTCCTTGTCTGCTCTCTTAACTTAGCATTGAGATTCTGCCTACTTTTCCGTATCTTGATACTTTTCTTCTACATGCCTTTGTGTTGGCCTTATTCAAAGTTTTGTTGTTTTGTGGACTTTCTATCACTTCTGAGTCCTTGCATGTTTTCTCTTTTACCAAAGTTTGCTCCCTCTTCCCACTTCACACTTTTTTTTTTTTAAATCAACCAAGGGTTTGTCCCAACCTTACTTCTTTTTATAATACAGCCTTTCTGTTTTCCTCAGAGTTAAATGTTCCCTTAATTTGAGTTTTCAAAGCACTGATAGAAATTTTTTCATTATAATTGGTTGTTTATAGGTTTGTCTCCTGCCTAGCTTGTACTTGTTCGAGACTAGACCTGTTATTTAGTCTTTGTCTTTATTAACACAGATTTTCACAAAATCTATGTAGTAAACTCACAATGTTTATTGAAATATGAAAGGACATTAGTCAAGAGTTTAAAAAATACTGGTCCAGAACTAAAACTAAAATGAAGATAGGAAGAATGACAAAAACAGACAAATGTGAAATCTATGAAAAAAGAATTCTACTTGGTGGATAAACAGAACAAAGTTACTCTGCAAATTAGTCTTAAGTGTTTCTGACAGTTTACTAAATTAGACTTTCTAAGTAGGAAAGCTTAGCAGCACTTTAAAGTATGCTGCTAAAACCTTGAGTTTAGACTGGGGAGTTAGAAAACACCCTAAATTTGCCATTAAGAAAGAACTCTTCTGCCACGGTATGGGTTTCCAGGGAATAGGATTTCATGCTTAACCCAACATTTGATAGTGTTTCAGATAACAAGTAAGATTTCAGAGAAAGTTTCTCTCCAGAGGCCTTGCTGAAGAATATTTATTTTAAAATACTGCCCTTTTTTGGATATAGTCTGAGTCTGTCTTTATATATTCATGTATATATTTTCAAGTTACATTTATAAAGTGTCCTAGTTTTATATCCCTAACAATTTAAAAAGCTCCAGACTTTTCTTCTCATTTTTTTCTTTTCTTATGTCAGTGTCCACTCTTTACCCGTCTTTTCTGAAATTGTTGATTAGATTATCTAAAGTTTGGTGCTTGGCAGTTTTTTTCCCTGTTAGTATTCTAGTTTACTGCATTTGGCTTTGAAATACTATTTTTAAATGTTAAGAATACCATAATTTAGAAATTCATAACTAGTCCAAACTAAACAACGAGGGGGGAGCATACTGGGAAAATTCAGCCAATTTAGTGCTTTCATTTTGCTCTCCCGCGTAATTCTCTCTCCGCCACTTTCAGAGGCCAGCTCTTTTTGTGGAGTCAGGCTGGTAGAGAGGATTAGTATAAGCTATCTTTCTGTGTGCTTTAGAATATGCTGCTTAGTTCTTGTAATCAGGGTTTGGAAGATAAAATGTCTTGATTAAAGGTTTTAAATCTGTGTTCAAAAAATGTTTAGGAGAGATTGCTTTAGGTATATACATTTACCATTCTTTCTTGGTACAATCTCGATTTGTGCTGATTCTTGTCCTTATAATATGGTGTGAGAGTTAAGAGAAGGTTGTCAGTTAGTTAACAAGGTAGGTATAAGCCCTTGATAAGTCATTTGTTCGAAATTGACAAATTGTGCATAGAAACAATTCTAAAATGTTTTATATCTAGTTGAAGAGAAAGTATGAAATATAAAGTATTTAATTATTAGAAAATATAATAAATTATTTAATTTTAACTAGTTTTTTTTTGTGTAGGGTGCGGGGCGTGTACTGGGGATTGAACGCAGGGGCACACGGCTACTGAGGCACATTCCCCAGCCCTGCTTTGTGTATGTGTGTGTGTGTGTATATATATATTTTTTTTTTTTTTTTTTAATTTAGAGATAGGATCTCACTGAACTCCTTAGCAGCCTCGATTTTGCTGAGACTGACTTTGAGCTCTCAATCCTCCTTCCTCAGCCTCCCAAGCCACAGAGATTGTGGGTGTAGTCACCTTTTACTCAAGTGTATTGGCTTAATTTTAACCAGTTCTAAAATCTCCATTTAACACATCAACTTTAATGTATAGCCAGTAATTCAATGTAGTATTGACATATTCCCTTTGAAATCAGTAGAATTTGAGTTCTAGGTACCAAACTTTATTCTTTTTTCGAGAGAAAAATGTGAATACCATACCTTTTTATTTGCCACATTTGATCATTTAAATTGGCTCTTCTTCTAAAATATATCCTTTACCTAGCCACTTCTTACCACTTCTACTGCTGCCTCTATAATATAAGTCATCTTCACCCTCCTAGCCCATTTTCCTGCTTATAGTCTTTTCCCTCCTTAGTCCATTCCTCATGGTGTAAATAGAGTCATTTTTTAAAAACATACTCCCAATTATGTCAGTTTTTAAAAACCAGCCTCCAGATATCTCTTCTTATTTCTCGTCTCACACAGTAAAATCCAAAGTTCCCCAGACCTGCAAGGAACTAAACGATCTGCTTCTTAACCTGTACCTCTGACTTAATTTCCTACCATTCACCATTACTAAATTCATGCTGTTTGAGTCATATACTAAAGGTCTTGCTGTTACCTTCTGAACTGAATATTCTTCAGGTATTTTCCTTGTAGTTCCTTTAGTTCTCTGCTTGTTTTCTTTCCAGCTCCACCATCCCTGGCTATTGTAAAATATCTTCCTACTCTTTTCCAAAAACATCATTCTATGTAAAGGACAGCTCTTTAAAATTAAATTATAACTTTATTAAAACTTGTCACTTTTATTTTTTTTCTTCTAATTTTGCCATAGATCAGAAATCTTTGTCTTATCCCAGAACCCATCTCTGGTCTAAACCTCACATTTGGGAAGCATTCTATTCTTATCTCTCATTTTGCTGAAGAAATATAAAAATAATCGTCATTCTCACTGATACGTAAATTCTGTATTGAAGCACACAAAACAGAAATGAGTTTCTGCATATTCCCTCTCTTGTTCCCTCCTTTCTTCCTCTCCTGCTTTTTTTCCTTTTCTCCTGCCTCCCCACAGTGCTTAAAAAGTCCAATATTACTGAAAGAGGAACATTTCTGAATTTTCCTTTGAGACATTGCATCTTACACAATTTTAAGCATAAAGTTTTTCATTCTATATAGTTACTTTCAGTTTTGGCATTCTAAGAGTCTATAATTGTTTTTAATAATAAAGTTATGCAAATGTTGTCAAAAGAAGAATATACTTTGTATCCATTTGAACTAATTTATGTGTGTAAAATTTGATGAGATATGCTCTAGTATTCACCTACAATTTTATTGTATTATGTATATTTTATGCCCTTTTCCCATGTGTGTTCTTAGAATTAGAGCTCAGTAGTAAAGGTCCTATAAAGAGAATCAAATGTATTCTTGGTGTTTGCAAAACAAACTCTTAAAATTTCATGTATGTTGAGTCTTAATTTGTAAACTATAGCATTATTTTTTGTTTTTGCTACTGTTTCTTTTTTGAATTAAACTCACTAAAGAGCCCTTTTTGCTCCACCTCCCGACCCCCCAGTACTTAGGAGGTTTAATAGCCATGTGGGATTCTAGTTTGGAATGATCTTCAGAATTATATATCATGAGAGTCACGAGAGTCCTCTGCCCAAATATTAAGTACTTATGTTCTAATGAATTAATAGATTCTTAAAAATATCTGTATTTCACACCTAAAAAGATTAACAGTCCCCGTATAGCAATGGTTAAATTGTCCTTAGACTGCTATTCATCTGTACCCCAGTAGCTTTTTCTAAGACACCATTAGGAAGGATTCCTACAAATTTAATAGAGGACTTGAAATATAAAGAAATTATTTGATAGTATGGATGCTTTCACCAAAGTTGCACATAAAATTTGGTCTTTAGTCTGTAGCATGTCAGTTCACCATGTCTACTGGTAAATAATAGTGACCAGAGTGTTTCATTTTGAAATAAGACAAAGGAATTTTTGCTTGTGTCTTTATTTGCAATTGAAGAAGATACTCTTATCCATAATGAGTGTTTAAGTCATACCAAATTTGAGGTGAGATTCCCTTCAAATTTGTACTTTTGAAAAGATGTAGTCACCTTTTATTCAAGTCTTTACAATTTTTCTTCATCACTAGCATTTCACCTTACTCTGAAATTCAAAGTACTATCAGGGAGAAGACATATTGACCTGAAAATAATTTACTTAAGTTGGTTGATAGTTTTGGAAACTTTATAGAGGTCACCTTAAAAATAACCAAATAAATAAAAATTAGCACAGATTTTAGTAATTTTGGTGTGGACTCAAAGTTGCTAGTGTTGGATATGGTAATGATTTTAAAAAATAAGAATAAACAGTAAAAAAGATAAAAATTTATACCACTATGATGAAGGAAAAATTGCCTGCTTATGGGTGGGTACTTGTGACTCAAAATAAAATTCTAGTGTATCACTACATGCTGATTGAAAAAATGCTATCTCAAATTTTGATTGTAAGGAAAGATAATATGCTCTGGAAGACATAATTTTAGAAGTAGATAGTAACAAGACACTAATGTTAAAAGATGCATGTGAAGATTGTGAGTGATGGAATTTAAACTTTTAAAAAGAATCTATGGGAAATTATATTTGGGGTTATTTTTCAAGAGTGATATTAAGTTCCTTAAAAGTAAGCAGAACTCTTGCATGTGACAGGCTTTAAGATTCATCTTTTACATTGGGGACCTAAAACTAATTGTCTAATGGTGTGTTGGTATAGTCGGATTTTATCATAAGCCCATTTAGCCCTAAGTTGTTCTACTTCAGAATCTCAATAGTATTCTCTTAATTTGGAAGGTAAAGCTGTGGACACTTTTCAAAATACTATTCTTGATAAAAATAATATTTTTGTTTAGGTGACAAACAGCATGTTTGGTGCTTCAAGAAAGAAGTTTGTAGAGGGGGTCGACAGTGACTACCATGACGAAAACATGTACTACAGCCAGTCTTCTATGTTCCCACATCGGTCAGAAAAAGATGTAAGTTCATTGTATGCATGTATTTACTCAACCATTGTCTGTTTCTGGGTTCCTGCAAAGCAACATGTAAACTATGGGGTTCTGTGTGGTTGAGTGTTAGGCACAGTGCTAGGCTTTGGAGATACAAAGACAAGTAACTTTGATTCTAATCCGGAAACATATTGCCCTATGGTTCTTACCTTGGGACATGATAGCAGTGTGGTAGGAAGTACTCAAAGACTTAGTGTATACATTGTATGTATGACTTTTAGATCATCTGTTTTTTTGTTTAACATGGGAAGTAACTTTTATATTAAAACTAATGGACACATGGAGAACAGATTTGCATAGATTTGAAGATAAAATGGCAAGCATAAAATGAACAATTTTCTGGCTTTAGGCTTATACCTTAAACAGAGTATTTTTTTTCTCTCTTCATCCTTGGGGATAAAAATGTTTGACACACTGCATTCAGGATATAGTAGATGAGATAGAGACATAATCCCATCATGTGGTTTAGAATACAGTGAAATCATAATTAGCAGATGGGTAAAATTTTTAAAAATAAATTTTTGAATTATATTAGGTCATTTTAAGTTATAATTTAATCCTGTCATACTAGTTGCAGTCGTCTTATATTTTTTACCTATCCAATCCTTTTCCTCTTTCAAAACTTTACATATAACCTAATGAGATTTTTACTAGTTTAAAGCACTTATAATGTTCTAAGGTATGTAACAGTGATTCTCATTTTCTTTAAAATCTATTACTAGTAAATAACTATTTATCATTTTAGAATTTCACAAATTAGCTTGACCTAGGTTTCAGATAGGATTTTAGTTTTTTTGGTTTTTTTAAAATACTGTTTTTTTAAATTGTCATTTTGGAAACTGATCAATTGATTTATTAGGACTCTTTTCAAATTATGTGTTTGGTGGCTTGGTTAATGATTAGTGTGCACTTTAATAGCTTATGGAAGAATGTCATCTAATATTCTGCTTGCTGTTTTCTTACTCTATTTATTATTTGATGTAAATTATATTTGAATTATTATTTACACATGTCTATGTTTAAATGTTGACTTTGTAGATTAAAATTGGGGATGTATATTTGATAGGATTGCAGAAACTGTAAAGCTATGACTTGTGTATTATTGTGATGGTTTAGTGAGATTTAAAGTTTGATAGAAAAATGGTAGTAAAATTCTACAGATTAAAAAGCATTTATTTTAAATTAGGAAGATATGAAGCTTTCAAACAGAAATCTAAAATAGAGCATATGTAGAAGGTAAATTTCAGAGAAATGCCTGTCTTCTAAAAAGCAGAAACACTGCATTTGTGTGAGTTCTAAAATCAGAATTAGTACATGCACTCACATTTATACTCATATATTTTGGTTATCATTTCAATCTAGTTGATTTTCACAGAAGTTACTCATCCTGGTTTACTCTATGAAACTTTATTTTTAACCTTATTAATAAGTAATAAGGTACTATGACGTACCAATTAACAACTTGGATTCTAAAGCAATACACACGTGTTTGATTCCTGATTGCCTGTTAACAAGAATTTCTTCGAGCATCAGTTTCTTCATCTATAAAGTGGTAATAACAACATAGTAGCTACCTCATAAATTGCTGCTGATACTGTTACTTTTTTTCTTATTGTTAAAGACAGGGAAACTACAAATTTGTAAAAGTACAGATGAGGAGAAGAATAAAATTAAAATTACTCATTCTTACCAGGAATAATTTCTAGAATTTTGATTTTATACTTCAAATATCTTCATTAAAAATTTTATAGTTTTTAAAATTTCTAGAACATACTGACATTTTCCACCAGAAATTTTGTACTTATTTTTACTCTCATTACCACTGTTCATTCCTTTAATTTTTTGCTAATAGAGAAAATAAGTTTATTGTTTTAATGTAGATTAATGTCACTAATTTTATGCACAAACACACATAAACACATGGTTGTCTTTTTCTTACAGTTATTGGCCATTTATATTTCTTTGTGTGGGTTATCTATCATTTCCTATTTCGCTGTTGATAATGATTTATTTTCCACATATTAGGGTTAATAACCTCTTGTCATTTGATACAAAAATATTTTTCTGTATTTTTCACCTTTAATTTAGTTTATGGTATTTATAATATTCAGATATTTTTCATTTGACTTCAACGTGATCCCTCAATCTTTTTTGCTCATTTTCTTCTTTTAAATTAAATTTTTGTTTTAACAGATACATGGATAAAATTAGATTAAACGTGTCTCCTCAAATATTTCTGTTTCTTTATGGGATCATAGGATTTTCTAAAACTGTTTCTGTTTTCAAAATATTTAGAAAGACCTTTACTAATAGCTTTTTCTAGTAATTTAAAAACATTCTTCACCTACGGCTTATGTCCATTAGAATTATATTTTGGTTTAAGAAAAATATTTTGGTTTAAGGACTGTATTGTAAGGTTCCAAACATTTTTTCCCTAGTGAAGTTATCCAGTTGTCTCGGCACTATTTATGCTTTATATCATGGGACAGAAAACTTTTACTTACAGTACTACATAGAAACAGCTTTGTGAATTAAGGGACAAAATCAAAGGTATTATATAATCATTTATAATGTAAAACCCATTCTTAGTTTATACATCCTACAAAAACTGTCCGTGTACTGATTTGGCTCACAGGTAGTAATCTGTCCACTCCTGAACCTTTCACTTATGACTAATTAAAATATTCCCTTTAATATATTAGTGTCTTATGTGTCTTATGTGTTCTTGGGTCTTTTTTAAACCCTTGGTCTATTTATCATACTGATTCCATGTCAGAGCTACTATTCCAATTGCTGTAGCTTCAGCTTTAAAGACTATTTTAACATATTAGGTAAAGCCTTATACATCCCTTTTTTCCATAAAAATGTTTTTGACTACTACACATAAATGCCAATGTTTACCTTCCTTAGAAGGATCTCTCCTTTTAATCCTATTCTTTTTGGCTTTTAAAAAGTAGGCTCTGGGGCTCAATTGGTAGAGTGTTTGCCTCTTGTGCACAAGGCTCTGGGTTCAATCCACAGCACCACCAAAGGAAAAAAAAAGTAGGCTTTTATAGTTGCCATTTTCATTGCATCTTTCAGATTGACTTTTACTAATCTGTAAAAAGTATTTATTTCATAATCAACTACCTTACAAAACTCTTTTACTAGTTGTTTTTTTTTTTTTTTAAGCTATTGGGAATGTAGGATTCGGAAGTCCCTACTATATAAGTTTCTATCTCAGCTTCATGATTTACTGGCTGTGTTTAGTAGTGCAAGTTACTCGATTTCTGTTTTATCTGTCTTCTCATTTCTACAATCGGAACAATAGTAGGTGACTCATGGGTAAGGACTGAATGGATAATTATATGTAAAACTTTAAGATGAAGAAATAATTAATATTGCTCTTAATATGATTATTAATAACATTTCATTTGATTCTGTTTGATTTTCTAGGTAAAGTATCTGCAAATAAAGATTATTTTCATTCTTTATAAAAGCTTATAAAGAAAAATATTTTAACATACCAAATAAATTGGACAATTTTATTATTTTTTCTTTTTGTAAGTAAAAAGTATTTTTAATTGTAATTTGTGATAAAGGAAAACTGCTTAGTGGTTGAGTGAATCTTGAAGCCAGTTTAATGAGATATTAATAATAGACTTTATGTGTTAATTTTTTAAATGGGCTGAAGCAGTGGTTTGAGTTAATATTTCTTTAAGTAGAACTCATTCAATAAATATCTTACTCTGATGTCTGCAGAAGTGATAAAAATCAGTATCTTAATGTCACTGAACTATACACTTAAAAATGTTTAATACTTAAAAATCAAAATTTCTGATTTACCTTGTTCATATAGCATAAAAGCTAACTATTGCTGCTTCATCTGTATGACTGTAGAGGCATTTAGGAAAGTATTCTCTCTGATATTGTGTGCTAGTTAAATTGATAAGTAATATTTTTAGAGCTCCTCCTGATTATCAAAGACCTTTTATGAGGTGCCTGTACATTTATGTGACTTTATATAGAATGCTCTATTTGATATTTTGAAATATAAAAGTGATGTTATACATAATACAGATGTTGTTACAATAGTTTAACCAGATTAAGTTAATCACAGGCATATATGAACATATTTTCCTTGTTATAGTTATTGTCTTTTTGGAATCTTTATAAAAATAAAATCCAACCAACTTGTAGAATTTTAAAAATATATATATTTGCAATTTAACTGTTTACACATTTTTACTAGTTTATGAATCTTTGTATAACATTACACATTTTGATGATTCTTAAGCATAACCATTTGAGAAACACAAACTTGTGGGAATCTCTTTTGTTTTAATGAATGGTGAAAAGACAAATGAGATGTGACACATATTCCTTACTTTTAAAAAACTCTTAAAACTAGAAGGAGTAGACTGTGTACTAATTCTGCCAAATCATTTTGAATTCATACCTAGCTTTCATTGTTAACCTATAACAGTTATAACAACAAAGGTTTCTCTCATGCCAATTATAATGAATAGTTTGTTAAAATCTAGTATAAAATCTAGTATAAGCATACCTTTTGTCACTCATTATCATCATCCTCATGATTAGTGTTTGTGTATAGGAGTTAGGCTGATTAAATCTTTACCTGTAGGCGATCTTCTTGTCAACTTATTTTCCCCCAGAATTTCCTGAGGCTTTTTCTTTCATTACATTAAACTCCTTTACTAGAATTATCATACCCAAGAAGCCTTCCCTTGACTTCCCTTTTCATAGATGGCATTGTATATACTATAATCACTATCCTCTAATTTCTTTTTGCATTAAAAAAAAATCAGAGCAGGGTGTAGTTTAGTAAGCACTTACCTAGCAGGCTCAAGGCCCAAGGCCCTGGGTTCAAACTCTGTGTGTGTGTGTGTGTGTGTGTGTGTGAGAGAGAGAGAGAGAGAGAGAGAGAGAGACACAGGGAGAGATAAGATACATCAAGTATCACTACCTGA